TAAAGCTAGAAGACAAGTCACACTCTAATCACTCCTGAGATGGTGCAGCCTAGGACCTCAGAATTCAGGGCCTCATCCAGTCAGAAGCCAAGCCTAATTCACCTCACATCTAACAAAGACATCTTCCCCTGAGATATGAAGGAGGGGTGGCCAGCTCCAGCATCCTGCCTCTTCTGTAGGGACATATTCCTGAGCAGTTTGAGTTTTTGCCTTATGGCATTCAAATTTATCTCCAAAATGAAAATAGACTAACTGGTTATTTTATTTTTGTAAAGATGATATATAAACCTAGAGAAAACTCAAGTGACAGGCAAACATATAAACAAAAGTAAAAACCACCTAATACCACCATTTAGAGGAAAGGAGATCTCACAGTAAACTCTGTTCTGCAGAGAGGAGGTGAGTCCATTCTGAGTTACATCTAGAGGGTAGTAGGGCTTGATTCTCTGAATAAGCCTGAAGACTTAGGGTTTTTTTTGTTGTTGTTTTTTTTTTTTTGTTTTGTTTTTGGTTTTGGTTTTTTTGAAGACTTAGTTTTGCATAAGACCCCAGATGCCACCTCTGGACTATCCAGAGCATTTTTTCAGGGAGATCCAGTAATTGTGGAGCTCTCATCAACATACACAACAAAGTTATACAGATCCCATAAATAAAATCTTTTTTTTTTCATAAATAAAATCTTAAAAAAGAAAAAGGGCAGCCCGGTGGCTCAGCGGTTTAGCCCAGGGCGTGATCCTAGAGACCCAGGATGAGTCCCACGTCAGGCTCTCTGCATGAAGCCTGCTTCTACCTCTGCCTGTCTCTGTCTCTCTCTGTCTCTCTCTCTCTCTCTGGAAAATAAATAAATAAATAAATAAATAAATAAATAAATAAATAAATAAATAAATGAAATCTTAAAAAAAAAGTTAAACAGATCCCCTCCCCACACACACAACACACACTGCCTGGACGCCAGGAGTTAATCTGTTCAACATATGCACTCCTTTTTTTCACTCAACATTGTGGCACCCTTTCCACAATCAATCACAAGTATAGACATCATCAGTCTTTTTATCTCCTGGAGTGTGGTAATGACAGAATAGGGGCTACCATTTCCTCTTGATCCAACACCTTCAGAATCTAAAAGGACTTACCCAAAGTCACACATTGAACAGAGGACAGCCCAGAAGTGCAGTTGGGCTTGAGGAATGACTGTGTGTGACAACAAACTTGAAAGGTGTTCATTAACTTTTCTTTGAGTCATAAAAAGGATCAGATATGTTAGTTATTTCAACATACACACTTTGCACTTCAAATAAAAGTAAATAGTTGGCTGGACTAGCACTCTGATCTCCTAAAACATTTCTCAAAATTAATTAGCTGATAGATACAACAATCCTACACTCCTAGAACACAAAGGGGGAGAATACTGGACCAGATACCCAGAAATAGAAACATATACAGACTTTGAGTACATGCAATCACTCCACCTCATAGATGTCAGAATTCTCTCCTATTCAGGATGTTCCTTTTGTAGGAAAAGGGAAAGGTTAATACAAAGTTACATACAAAGATAGAGCTGGAGCTAAAGATCTAACACAAACACTAAATATTAAAACGTTAACAGTAGCTCTAGGTTATAGAATTTATCAGTCAGTTTTATTTCCTTTGCATACTTATCTGCAGTCCCTAAATCTTCTATATAAATATTCTTGTGTAATTCTCCTCAGAGTTTTAAAAGAAAAATAATTTGTCCACAATCTAGGTTGGTCTATTTGGATTTTATTTTTCACTATAGAGAAACAGACTCAAAACTCTAGAAGATCCACAACTCTTCCCAATTTTGCAAAAGCAGAAGTATTACAATAAATCTCAAGCCCCACGGAAGATTCCAATCCAGTAGGAAAGCTTTCCATGACCAGACTGAGTAGAGGACAGGGGTTACAACTTTCTTTTCTGTCTCCAATGTGTAAGGAAGATGAAAATTCTAAACCAATCTCTCCTTCAAATGCAATCAAAAGCTCCCCACCCCCTCCAAGAGTTCACGCACCTCTGTTCCCAGAACAATCTCCAATGCATCTGTCTATAACCACCCTTTAGCTACAAGACTATCCCAATCACTTAGATGCTGGATACCGATTCTGAGGAATCCCCTTTTCCAGTATTTTATTTCCAAACAGTTGGTCCTCCTCTTCCTTAAGATTCACAAGCATATGAGCCAACCCACACCATACAGAATCATGCGTTCTATCAATTAATAATCATAGTTGGCCACACTGTATAGAGCTTAAGTAAAGAGTATGTTAATAAAAAGGATGAGTTTTCATGGGCCTGAGAAAAACAAACAGAAATTGAGGAGCAAGAGTTTGTTAATACGTCCCAGCCCTGGCCAGAAAGGGTGGAGGTGGGGAGGGTGGAGGTGGGAGGAATGGCCAGAGGACAGAACATCTGTCATTCTGCAGTTTCATTTCTCATGGCCAGTTAATACCCCGAGTTTATGCATCAGTCTCTTCCAAGTTTGGTTAGTGAGTCAGTCTGCCTGGATCCAATCAGCTCTGAGTGCCCTACAAAACTGAATTTCAGGACTATGAAACTGAGAACCAGATCCTGAAACACAGTGATCCCGCCAAAATAAAGCCACCCCCAGGATGACATCTGTCTCCACTCTCTAACTCCAACACCCACCATGGTATGTAGTTGGTGTATCTAATACTATCTGATGTATCTAATACTCATCTAATACTCTGCAGCTTGTAGAATAAAATTCAAACTTGACCTGCCTTTTACAGCTCCAACTCAGCTTTCCAGCCTGCTGCCCATACACACCAAGCCTCTCAAAGCTCCATGTTTTCACAACATAGCTCTCTCTAGCTAGACTGTCCTTTGCCCAGTCCTACTTGTTGTAAAACTCCTATTCTTCCTCCAAAGCCCAGTTTAAAAGTCACTTCCACCCTGAAGTCTTCCCTACTTCCCCAGGCATTTAGTTTCTACTGCTCCCAACAGCTAACTACAGATGCACCAGAGAACTTGTTATGTACCTTGTAGTGCATCTGTATAAATACTTGACCTCCCCCTGGATACCCTGAGGTTCTGAAGGGAAGAAAGTCACATTGTATCCATAAGTTCTAACACAGTGTCAAGAATGAAATCCGAGATCAATGTTGAATGATTGATCACATGGAATACTGGCATTAAGTTATTTAAAGGAAAGGGGAGGGTGTTATGTTCACTTAGAAAGAAAGAAAGAAAGAAAGAAAGAAAGAAAGAAAGAAAGAAAGAAAGAAAGAAAGAAAAAAAGGGAGGGGGAAAAAGAGCCTCACAGACTCCAAGAATTATCTATATATTTAGTTTCACCTGACATGATCAATATAGCTAAGAGCATGAAAGTTTTAACAATTTAAATAATAATAACAGCTAACATTAGAGGTAAGTGCTACAACATTTACATGGCTTGATTAATCTGATATGCACAACCGCCCTCTGAGGTAGGTCCTTTTATCTGTATTTACTAACCCTATGAGATAGGTACTTTTATCTGCACTGAAGCTGGGGAAGAGCTTGAGGCCTTTCCCAATGAGATACTGAGGCACATAAGAAATTAAACTCAAAATCCTTCTGTTAGCAAGTGGCAGAAGCAAGATGCAAAATCCAATAAGTCTGGTTCCAGAGCCAGTGAGCTCTGGGATCAAGGAGACCTGGGTTTGAATCCAGATGATGTTACAAATGTTTTGGATAAATCATCTATCTCCTCTGGCCTCGTATCTGTAAAAAGGGCAGGATGAGCCTTTTCTTTTAATTTGTAGAGGGGATGAAGTTAAATATGATGTTTGCAAAAGTCTCTCAAATGGATTCTCCCATCTAGCAGGCACTCCATAAACTCTAATTCATCTTCATTTCCCTTCCTAAAAGCTGCGCAAAACACTTGGAGGAAAAGAATCTCCCTCAGACTGCTCGAGGCTTTTCTGAGCAGATCCAATAGTTAGGCCACTCAACACACAAAGCCTCGCCTTACCTGCTTATCTCAAAGTCCATTCCCCATACAGAGAGGCCAGAGACCTTTTAAAATGTAAATGTCATCATGTCAATCACTAGAAACCCTTCAAAGGTTCCTAATTTCACTGAGGATACAAACCAAAGCAGAGGGAGGGGTGGGGGAGGAAGGCACTCTGTCCCCAAGGCCCCCTGTGATCTAACTGACCTCTCTACAGACTCATCTCCCCTCTCCCTCTCCCCCTCCAGCCACAGAGGCCTCTTTCACTTCCTCCAACTTGCCAGGCTCCGTGCTGCTCCACACATGGTTAACTCTTAACCCTCCTTCAGCTCTCAGCCTGGACGTCACTTCCTCAGGGAAGCCTTCCTTAAGCCCCCAAATCAAATCAGGGCCCATCACTCTCAGCACTCTGCTCATCTTTCCTTTCTCGAACTCAGCACAGTTTGAAATGATTAGCTTACCACTTCCTTCAAAGTTTTATTGAAAAGCTACCTTCTTAGAAGACCTTCCCAGGCCACTTGAATGTAAATTCAACCCCCACTCAATATCTCAAATCCTCCTTCCCTATCTTCTTTTTCTTCCTAGCATTTAGCCCCATAGTCCCTTTTTAGAGGCTTTTTCACTATATACTCCATTTTACTGTCACACACACACACACACACACACACACACACACACTACCAGTAGACTGAGAGCTCCACAAGGGCAGTTATTTTTGCTTGCCTTCTTCACAGCACCTAAAACAATGCCTGGCCCATATTTGTTGGCAAATATTTGATGTGAAATGAAATTTCAAGATTATTTATTATTGGGCTTTCCCACTAGGCTGGCTCCAGGCTCAAGCTAACACATGTCCTTCTGGTTTACCACCATCCTCCCAGCACCTAGTCCAGGGCTCAACACATAATAAGTGCTCAGTAAAAAGTTACGGGGGGGGGGGGGGCGGAATCAAAGCCATGACCATTGGAAAAATTGTCAAAATACGTGTGCTAGCACCAGACTCCCTCCTCCCTTTCACTGTGTCATGTACCTGTTAGTTTGAGGAAACCGACCCACGAAATCCCAGCAAGCACCCACCAGGCCAGGCATCTGTCTGTCCACATCCTGTATGCTCAGCCACACTGTACACACCACTAGATGCACCCTACAGGCCCTACACGAACACAGAGCTGAAGGCAAGTGGGTCAGTCAGAGGCCAAATACTGTCTTACCCCCAAGTCCCATTCTCCTGCTGCCAGTCCTATTCTAGGCTAGTCCTGGGTGCCAGGCATGCTTCCCTGGGTGGGCCCGTGGATTTGTTCCAACCCAGGACTTTTAATGCCACCTCTGGCCTACTCCAAGAAACAAAAAGTTAAAAATCCCTGAGCAGCTCCCACAATCCCGGGGATCTCAGGAACAGGCATACCTAAGGTCGTCTGGACCCCTCCCCCTCACCCCCGCTGATCCAAGGCCAGGAGGCCATCTGCCCAGCAGACGCTCCCCTGTCCTCCCTCGGGTCACATTGAGCGCCCCCCCCCGCCCCAACCCAGGTTGGCAGGAAGAGCCCCTGCAGAGAGAGCCTTTCCACCCCGATCAACAGGCCTGGTCACCCCCTGAAGACCCCAGCTCCGGAGCAGGAATACCTGTCTGCTCCCGAAGAAACCTCCCCCGGGGTCAGAACTTGGGCGGAGGCGGGGGAGGGCCCGAGGGGCGCCCAGGAGGGTCGACCCCCGAAGTGTCGGCCCAGGACGGCGCCAGCGCTCGGCGCGGCGGGGACCGCAGGGCTGACAGGGCGCCCCGGCCGGGAGACGCGGCACCGTTATCCGCCGCCGGGCGGGGGGCCGCGGGGCTGGGGCGGCCGCCTGTCCCGCGCGGGGAGGACGCGGCGGCGGCGGCGGCGGCGGCGGCGGCGGCGGCGGCGGCGGCGGGCGGCGGGCGGCGGCGGGGGCGGGCGGCCCGGCGGGCGGGCGGGCGGCCGGGGGCGGGGTGGGGTGGCAGCCGCGGCCCGCCAGGCGGCGGTCGGGGGAAGTGGCTGCCGCCTCGCCTCGGGCGGCGCGCAGGGTCCGCCCGGCTGCAGGGCCGCGGCGCGGGCGCGGACTCGGCCCCGGCTCGGCGCGGCCCCGGGCCGCGGGCTGAGGCGGGCGGAGGCGGGCGGAGGCGGGCGGAGGCGGCCTCGGCGGCAGCGGCGGCCGCGACCTCGGGCTCCCCGCCCCGGCCCGGCCCGCGGGGGGGCGCTTACCTGGCGGCGGCGGCGGCTGCAGGCCCCGGGCTCGGCCGCGCGCGTCCCCAGCGCTGGCTGCGGGAGCCACAACATGGCGACGGCGGTGGCGGGCGGGGCTGCGGCTCCGGGGGCGGAGCGGGGGCGGGAGCCGGCCTGGCGGCGGGACCCGGCTGGGGCCGCGGGCGGGGGGGGGGGTGAGGGCGGGGCGGGCGGAAGGCGACTCGGACCTGGGCGCCCGCCCAGAGCGGCTCGGCGGAGGGGCTGCCCGGCCTGGGCCGGGCCTCGGGCCTCCCGCTCCCGCTCCCGCTCCCGCTCCCGCCCCGAGGCTGGCTACGCTGCGCGGGCCCGACGGCGGCGGCGGCGGCGGCGGCGGCGGCGGCGGCGGCGGCCGGGCGGGCGGGGCTGGGGCGGCGCCGCGCAGGGCTGGACCCCCGACCCCGCGCGCCCCGGCCGGACCCCGCCGCGCCCCCCGGCCGAGGGCCCGGGGCAAGGGCCGCCGTCTCCCGCTAGGGGGACCCCGGCGGACGGGCAGGGCGGGTGCCTCCGCACCGGGACAGCGTCCTCGGCCCTTGGACCCGGCACGTAGCGGGGCCTAGCTAGAGGCTGCCAGGTGCAGGGAGCCCGCGCTCGGCGGGCGCGCCCTCGCTGTGCGGTCACTGCGGCCTCGGGGACTCGCCCGCCGGCTCGGAGGCGGGGGGCGCTCCGACGCGAGGCCCGCGGCGAGCGGCGGTGAGGACGCGCGGGCTGAGAGCTCTCTGAGCGATGGGGGAGCTCTGTGCGCGGGGAGACCTCAGAGAGGCCCGCGAACGGCCCGGAGGGGGGCCGCCAGGTCAGGCCCTGCGGTCTGACAGTGGGCGCCCACCGCTGGCCGCGGGGAAACTCCTGAAGACCCGGGAAGGAGATGCCAACTTGCAAGAGGGGTGGAACGAACTTTCGGCCAGGGCCCGCGGCGCGCCTGCCAGGCAGTGAGCCCTCGGATAAGGAGCTCGGGAATCAATGAGCGCAGGCAAGGGTGATCCTCCCAAGAAGTTTGGCAGTGAGGCGGAGAGGCCTGTAGCTCCGGGGGGAGTACGAGCAAAGGAGAGAGGTGATTTCTTTATTCCCCGCCCCTACCTCAGTATGAGGTGGAGCTCTCATAATAAAGGAGCAGAGGGGAGAGAGTAAGAGATAAGAGATGGGATAATTAATGGTGGAAGATCCCAGAAAAGGAAAATGAGATAGGGCTGGTGGAGGCAGAGGAAGGAATCAAGGAGGCAGACCTCTTCCTACAAGATTTAAAGGATGCATGAAGATAGAAATATTTTGAGGTGAGAAAACATACATACTGAGTCCTCTGTGTTTCCATGGATCAGCTACCTAGATGACCCCCAAAGTCACCCATAGGCCTTCTGGGGTTACTGTCCTTTAAAACTTAAGTGCAATTGGCTCAAACCCCTATTCCTCTTAAAGTGAGAAACCCAACATACCCGCTGATATTCCCAAAGATTCATAGGGGAACTTATATTTCCCCTAATTATCCTATTGGCCCTAATTGTCTATTCCCAATATTCTATTGTGCTATTATAGGAAATTTCTCATTGTACCCTGGATACCACCCCATTTCTACTCCCCCCCCAAAGTATAGCACCGTATGTGAAAAACAAAGTAACCCAATGTCATGATTGTTAAATACATTATAGTTTATTTGTAGCCATTAAAAATCATGTTGAAGGAAAAGATTAATGACATGGAAATATTAGTAATTGAAAAGGACATCACAAGATGATATAAAACTAGCTTGTAATATATAAAAATACTATGCGTATCACACATCATGCCTAGATAAATGGGATTTTTATTTTCTTTTGTGACTTCTTAATTTTCTTATTTTTACAGCACATTAATATTTCTCTTCAAATCAGGAAAAGTGATATTTTTTAAGTATTTTTAAGAAAGGAATTTTTTAAGAGATCTTTATGGACTTGAAAAAGATATTAGGAATGAAGAAAGGAAAAAAATAAAATAAAGAAAAGAAAAAAAGAAAGGAAGGGCTCCTGGCGGGCTCAGTTGGTAGAGCATGCAACTCAATTTCAGGGTCTTGAGTTAAAGCCCCACATTGGGCATGGAGCCTCCTTTAAAAAAAAAATGTGGGTTGTTTGTTTTTTGTTTTAAAGATTTATGTATTTATTCATATCAGACACACACAGAGAGAGAGAGGCAGAGACACAAGCAGAGGGAGAAGCAGGCTCCCTGCAAGAGCCCAATGCTGGATTCAATCCTGGTTCCGGGATCCCAGGATCACACCCTGAACCTAAAGCAGAGGCTCAACAGCTAAGCCACCCAGACATAAAAAAAAAATAAAAAAAATAAAATTAAAAAGGAATCAAAAAGAAAGGAAATTGCAAATGGATCTTTGAATGATGGAAGGAACTTAGGTTAGCAGAGCTGGGCTAGTTGGGGAGACTGCCCTCACCAGAAGGAATACTGTAACCAAGGACACAAAATAAGAAATGGGTGGAGTGTTCAGGGAACACCAATGGAGCAGTTTGCTTGAAGCAACTGCTTCAACTAGGATTCAAGGTGGAGAGAAGTTAGAACATTCAGCTCAGAAACATAAGATGGGACCATGGCCCCAAATGCCAAGCTGAACCCTTTGGAATTTGCCGCTAAGAACCCCCAGCGCTTGAACTGGGCAGGTGATAAATTTTAAAGTAAACTTTCCTGTAACCTCTTACTTATAATGAGGTTCTGGATCTCAGCCTTTCTATCTTAATGATATTTGGATATTTGATTGACTCAGAGCAGTGAGGTAGAAGCAGCAGTTTTTGCATTCCAACTATTTACAGAATGAGAATTGGCCCTTGCTTCTCTGCCTGTTGATTACTATAATTTTAATTCACAAGGCACCAGAGTTTCAGAGAGAACAGATTAGCAAAGACCGAGGATGAGAGGAAGAAGAAATGTTCACCTTAAACCAGTGCTTTTTTTTTTTTTTACAACTTTCTATGAGTTTGGCTTTTTTTAGATTCCACAGATGAGTGAGGTCATACAGTATTTGTCTTTCTCTGACTTATTTCACTTAGCATAATGCCCTCAAGATTCATCCATATTGTCAAAAATGGCAGGATTTCCTTCTTTTTTTTATTGCTGAATAATATTTTTGGCTAACATTTTTAACTCTGGCCCTCTATGCAAAATATACTGCACATCTCAACCCAGAATATACACATGCATGTACACAAATATACCTCTGAGACAGAAGTTTCATGAAATATTACTCTTAGGCACTGCTGGCTGATATTTTTAACTTGATTTTTTTTCTTTTTTTTCAAAGACTTTATTTTTCCATGAGACACAGAGAGAGAGAGCCAGAGACATAGGCAGAGTGTGAAGCAGGTTCCCTCCAGGGAGAGCCTGATGCGGGACTCAATCCCAGGACTCCAGATCACATCCTGAGCCAAAGGCAGATGCTCAACCACTGAGCCACCCAGGTGTCCCTCAACTTGATTATTTTTATTTCTTTTTAAATACTGGTCAGGACCTACTACATTGATCTTATGACCCACTATAGGGTTCAAAATGCCTCAAAGAACATTGAAAAGAGGCTAGGGATATTCCCTTCTGTGTTTACCAGTCTCATTTAAATAGCCATACAGATAGTGACCTTAAGTTTGCCATGTTTACAGGTCCCAGAAATCAACAGGACAGTCAAGCCTCTCTCAGGATATGGTGGGGGCGGGGACAAAAGAATTGGCACAAGCCATGTTTGGGTTTCTCTTCCCTTCTTAGCAAATATTACCTGATACCAGTATTTCTCGGGAGCTATAAATGCTTTCTTCTTTGTGTAGCTTGAGATACAGATTGAACTTCAGACAAGGCTAGACCACCACCTGTAAACCAGCGACAACTTTTCATTTGCATGAACAGAATCACAGACTAAAATAAAAGGGAGGGATCCCTCGTGGCTCAGCGGTTTAGCACCTGCCTTCGGCCCAGGGCGTGATCAAGTCCCACATCAGGCT